CTCTAGTCTCTCCCAAGTTATATAGTATTTTATGAAATTCTTGCTCCTTAGTGCTGCATAGTATTCCACTGTGCATTCATTCCTTTCTTCAGTTAACATTTATGCTTTTCTTGCCCTCACGGTGATATCTTCCTCAGAACAAACTCATCCACTCTCTTGGTCTGTGAAAAACCTCAGATTCACCTAAAAGGTTGCTTGCTTTCAAATTATCCCTCAGGCACAAGCTTCCTTAACCATTCCTATGTCTCTTACAGCCTTGGAGCACACTGCAGCTCACTTTACAGATAAGCCCTCTATTCATGTGAAGTGTCTTTGATGAAAGTTGCTGTTGCTGTTTGGTGCCATTGATCCAACTACAATTCATAGCGACAGAGTCACTGTGAAGAACAGATCTGAGCCTTGCTCTACCTTGTGCCATCCTCACATGTCTGCTGTACTCAAGCACATTGTTCCAGTCTGCACTGTCAGTTCATCTTGTTGAGGGTCTTCTTTTCTTTCACTGGCACTCCACGTTTCCTAGCATGTTGTCCTCCAATATAATCTCAAATGCCTTTTAGAAGATAAACAGAGAGGAAATACTTCTCCTTTGCTCTTAATGCTATGCAAAATCCAAACAGAAAGAGCATTTTTAAAGCAACTAAAGGTATATATCCCATTGCTTATTTCACCAAGACCAAAATGAGACGGTATGGACCAGTTCCAAGAAGGAGAAATTACGCTGCCTCTCTCCCAGCCTCACTTGACTTACCCAGCCCTCCTCTCTGCTCTTTTATGCTCACCAGGTCTCCCTCACTCAAGTGTGGCAAATTAGGTAATTAGTGAAAGAACAACAATTTTGCAGAGAAAATGGCTACGTGTTTATGGAAGTTCAGTGGCTCAGGATGTATAAGGAAATCATTTGCTGGGCCTAGGGGAAGAAGGCAGAACTGGGTCCCAGCCAGTTCTCAGCAGAACCTGGAGTAGCTGAGAAGCACACAGCTGGCCTGGGCTCCAGCGCCCCTCTCTCAGCCCTGGGTGTTGACACAGAACAGAATAATCAGTGCGAGCAGAGAGTTCCCAGAAAATGTGTGCATATGTGTGTGTGTATCTTTCCTTTCTTACCTTTGCTAGCTTCATAATTTCACCAAATATTCTACAAGACATTCAGGTTCTTGGAAAACATTGAGACTAATTGCTATTCTCTGACAACGTACCAGGATGTCCAGGGGTTTAGACTGTGCAGGTTGTCTTCAACTGCATTAGCAACTGGGCAGGAATACCAACAAACTATGTGCGCTTCACTTTGGGAACTGCAGCTGGGTTTTTAGGATGCCAGGCTGCTTCGTTCCCTTTGCGCCCACCCAGATAGGTTACTCCTGACCTCTCCTTTGCTTTAAGTGCTTTATGTTCCGTGGAGGCAAAGGTGGCAAAGCTTTGTCTCTCATTCTTTTGGCTTGTTGTTGGGAGAGGGACATCATGCTTGCAAAGGTGGAGGGTCAGTGGAAGAGAAGAGCACTCTCAACCAGATGCATCGACACAGCGACTACAGTAATGAGCTCCAGTGTGTCAGAGATGACAAGGATGGCACAGGATAGGGCAGGGTCAGGTCTGTTGGTCATAGAGTCACTCTGAGTCATCGGTGGCACCTAACAACAACAACAACAACAACACACTGCTAAGGGTATCCTCATAGTAAGGAGCTGTGCTGCCAACCCAAAGGCATATGGTTTGAATCTACCAGCTGCTTAGTGGGAAAAAGAGGGACAATCTCCTCCCGTGCAATTTACAGCCTCTGAAAATCCACTGGAGGTCAGCTGTGAGTTGGTTTTAACCTGGCAGCACATAAAAGCAGCAGCAGCAGCAGCAGCTAGGGCAAGTGCTCAGACACTGGGCTCTTTTTTAAAAAAGGGGCCTTTTTTTCTCTCTCTTTTTTAAAAAAAAAGCATATTAAGAATTACTGTTACAATTTGCATTTCATGACATATTTTCTACTCTTTGGATGTATACCAGTCTCTGCATGGCTCTTGCTTTCCTCAAGGGGCTTCCTCAGACATCTCTCTGGACCAAGCTCAGCTATCTTGATGGGTTTATCATTGACATCCGTTATAAGGGAGAGATCAGTGAAAGAGGTTAAGCAAGGAAGTATTCTTGAAATATTCTTCTTAAAAAACGTCTTTCTCCCTGTCATTATCATAGTCTATTCTGACTCATAGCTGACCCTCCAGCAGGTTACTAAAGCTGTAAATCACACAGCAGAAGACTGTCTTTCTCCTGAGGAGCTCCAAGTGGATTAGAATCACAAGAAATGTGTAACTTTTGGGCTAACCATTCAACTCAACAATCTATCACACCACTGTTCTTCTGAAGGACGTTGTCACTGCGTACTGTTGAGTTGGTGTTGACTCATAGTTGACCCTCCAGTGGGTTTTCAGAGGCAGTTAATCACCTGGGAGGAGATTGCCCATCTTTCTCTCATGGAACAGCTGGTGGATTCCCACTGTGTACTTTTGGGTTAGCAGTGCAATTCCTCACCTCTAAACCTCCGGAGCTCCCTCTCCTTCAGAGTTATGGGCGTGAAAAGTTGGTTAATTTGTACATAACATGGCACACAAAGATGATGTCCTACATCCTACATTGGTGGTTAGTGACTGGAGTCTTAAAAGCTTGTGAATAGTTACTCAAAGTATAACTATTTTCTCTCCCCATCTGGAGCAAAGGGTGAAGAAAGTCAAAGATGCACAGAAACAATCAAAGGACCAATGGATCACATGAAGCCCTACTTCCACAGTGCTGACACCTGAAGTTGATGATGCGAGTTACCACCGCTGAGCGCTCTGAAAGAGGTCACATTGGAAGGCCTGGAGAAAGTGAGAGAGAAAAAATGTGGAACAACACTCCAATTCACAAAAAGGCCATGCTTACTGATCTGATGGCTACTGGTGGAAGCCCTGAGACTAGGATCCTTTATTGCTGTTGGGTGCTGTCCAGTCAATGATCACTAAACGAACTTGTCCCTCTCCTACTCCATCCTCACTGTCTCAGACACACTCAAGCCCATTGGTGAAGGTCATCCTCTCTTATACTGACCACTTTTCCCCACTTGATGTCTTTTCCCAAGACTGGCCCCTCCTGGCAACATGTCCAAAGGATGTGAGATGAAGTTTCACCATCCTTGTCTCTGAGGAGCACCCGGTTAGATCCTCTGTAAACCTGGAACTGGACTTATCGTCAAGACTCACCTTGCAGCCACACAATAGACCGGTGTATACAATGAGCAATAACAACAGGGAGGGGCCTACTCCTTAGCACCATCCATCATACAAGATTAACAGATAGCAGCAGGGCAGGCATGAAGCTCAAAAGGCAGGACCGACAGGGCAGCATCAGCCCCGGGACAAAGCTCAGATGGCAGGAAGGGAAAGGAAAGAAGGCCCAGTGGAACCAGTGCACACAGGGAGGAAGTGTCAAGAGTGTCGTTACAGCGAGGAGATCACGAACCAACGTGTGTATGAATTGTTGAATGAGAAACCAATTTGCTAAGCTTTCACCCAAATCACAATAACAACAATAACGAAATTGGTAGGTTTAGGTGAGGCAAGGCAAAACTATGCTAGCAGGAAGGCAAGCAGCAGCTCCTCTTCACAGCCTTAGAGCCGCCTCAGCCTTCAATCTAGGACCCCATCTGTTTTGTTAAATTGACAATTTCCTTCAGCAGGAAACAGAGGTTCATACTGAGTTTCAGACTGTTACAGAGTAAGGAATAGCTTCACTTTTTAAAGACTTTGCCTTTTAGGGCCTTCAGCACATAACTTAATTTCATTTGATGGAGTTTGTTTTTCCTTCTCCATTTGCTACCTAGCAATGTGTGCTTTCTTACCTCCTGCAGAATTGGGGTTAGAGGTGGATGGAGAGAGTTAGTGACTCTGAATTCTCTGAATCTCAAACACTAAAAAGAAATAAAATAATATTGCATTCAATTAAAGTTGCAAAAGCAGACACACCAGCATATTATGTAACTCATACCCTAACTGCACAATTCTACCCTTGGAGCCCAGACAGAAACTTCCTGGACTCCTCCAGTTTCAGGAGTATCTAACAACCAGACTTAGAAAGTCAAGAACACAACAGCACAAACATGTACATCGGTAAACCAAACACATTGCAGCCAAGTAGATTTTGACTCCTGGTGATGCCACTTGTTACAGAGCAGAGGTGTTCCACAGCATTCTCTTAGTCACGATTTTTATGGAAGCAGACTGGTCACCAGGTCTTTCTTTTGGTCACCAGGTCTTTCTTCCACATTGTCACTGGGAGGTGGGTAAAGGGTTGGGGGAGATTTGTGTAATCAAGCACAAACTATCCAGGGGCCTGAGATGGGGACTTTATTTGAAGGGAAAGTGTATGCATCTGCTAGGTTCTGTTTAAGGTTTGTTACTAAAGTAACAACTCAGCTCTTTGCTTTCTCCTTCCCAGATTCAAAACCTTTCAAAGTGCTCTGCACTGAAGGAGCTCTGGGGATGTAGCCACAGCGAGCTGCACTACTGTGCTTCTCCAGCAGTTACAATCTATCAGTAGCTCCTTGGGAGAAAGATGGGCAATCTCTTCCCCTTATCATTTACGGCCTCAACAACCTGAGGGAGCAGCACTGTGGGGTGAAACCAACTCAACGGAAGCCGTTTGCGTTAACCCATAGTCGTCTCACACAAAGACAGGACGTTATCTCAAACACGAATATAATGGAATATGACTTCCTGAAACAAAATTGTTGGCTTTATCTCAGACACGAATATGATTTCCTGAAATGAAAACGTATTACTTTAGAATTGCCTTTCTGAAAGTTTTGACACAAGGAGAAAAGGAAAAGATAAAAGGCAAGCAAATGTGGAGTATCAACTTTTTAATTAAGAGAGAAGAGTCAAGCATTTATCTGTAAGATGCAGTACATCTGCATTGGCATGTCTCTTGATAAGATGGGCCATTTACATACACAACCCTGGGGCCCGCAGCCAGCGGAAATCAAATTACTTGATGTCACACAAAAGGGCCACGCCTCTCAGGATCCAGTGGTCTGGGGACAAAACTGTTCTTAAATATACCACGGTGATGAAGGTTAAGTCTGTTCGCCTGGGTTTCTTGTAAATAGGACATACGTACAGCTTGGGGTCCTTGGGCGCCGTGGAGTTGATGGCAAAGATGTGTAGCACCGGCAACTGAGTGAAGAGCACCTTGGGGGTGGATTCGATGAGCTTCCCGTTCCGTCTGTCCCAGGCTGCTCCGTCCATGTAGAGTCCATAAATATATACACCTTCCTGAAAGAGTCAGGCATAAGGTAAAACGGTATCAGTCAGTCATTGCTGTGAAGTCAGGACGGACTCACACATGATCCTCCAGTGGGCTTTTTTGAGGTTGAAAATCACAAGCAGGAGATTGTTCTTATTTCTCCATAGGACCCACTCATGGATTTTAACTGCTCGAAAGGGGCTGCCTTTGGGTGAACAATGAAACTTTGCAGGCTAGGCCCCCAAAGCTCCAAACAAACGCATGTAAATGTGTATATACACACATAGAGGTTTATACGTGAGTGTAAAGAAAAAAAGACATATCGCATGGGCACTTTGTATCAGTAAATTATTTAGCCCAAACCTGCTCCCTACCCCACAGTATATCTTGGGGCTCTGAGCAATGTAGAAACATATGTGTTATTGGTTGTTGGTGTGGAGGGGTAACCTGACTGCTGCAACAGACTTAGCACCTCAGGTCACCTCACTTGAAAGCTAACAGTTTCTGAGAGGTCTGGGCCAACTTGGTGCAATGAAGCTGCATTTGGAGTTGGGGTCCTAGAGGATCTCCAGTCTAAAATGCCTAAACCAATCTGTGGCACTTGCGGATGGATTCAAAAGGCCAACATGGTATCTGTTAACCCTGGAGGCTCTGCCTTTTCCCCAGGCTAACAGTCTTCCAGGGGACACTGCTGGCACTGGCCCCAGGGCTCTGGGCTGCTAATCCAGTCAGTGATGGCTGCCCTTAGCACTCCTGGTTTCTGTTGGAAGCCCACAATAGTAGCTGGAAACACTTGTTGGGGGGCAGGAGGAAGCCTTGTTGGCAAACACAAGCCCAACTTGTAATTAAAAAAGAAATGAAGTCTGGGGAGTTGCCAGCTCTTCCCAGACCTAGTCATTAACCTCCCACCCCAGCAGATGGAGGAGGTTTTGGCGTTCATGCCTCTGATTACAAGGAAAGAAACCTTTGCTGTAAGGTCAATGGAATTACAGGGACTCATAGGTGAGTTCTACAAAGAATATGAACTTTCAGCCCTGGCCCCAGGATGGTCCCTGCTGGTGCCCATGATGCCTACCCCAGGAGGGGACACGATCTCTTCCTTGGTCTGTCGCAGGACATCATTGTGGATTGTCACCGAGTCCAGGGCCCAGCCTTTGTGGGCTCGGGCCACTTCTTGCCTCATTGCTGTGAGGAAGCCTTAAAAAAAGAGAGAAATGAAAAGATCGAGAAGTTTTCGTTCAGCCCAATTTAGAAAGGAGGAGGGAGCAATGGTAAGTGGTGCTCGCTAATCAATCACCCACCTGCATGCCTGCGTTAACTTCCCAGAGCTGCGGTAACAGAAATACCCAAAATGGATACTTTCAAGGGAAAGTATTTTTTTTATTATTTATTTATTATTTCCTCACAGTTCAGAAGTGGGAATTTAAGGGGCTCTGTCAGCTCTGAGGGAAGATCCTCATCCAATTCGGTAACTGTGACTTGACTCAGATTCTTAGTTCTCTTCTGGAATCATCTTTCCCCATTTATGTCCACCTTTCTGTGCTTAAGCTGCTCATTTTAGATCTCAAGGTGGTTAGACTTAATATTAGATATAGAATACTGAGGTCATCATTTCTCTCACTACGTGTGAATGCCTAGGCTATCTCTTGGTCAATACCCTTTTTATTACTCAACAGCTTTTTGCTATGTTTTCACTGTCTAGAAAGCTTTGTACAAGTAGAATTAAAATTCTCCCCCTTCAGGAAGATCTGTTTTGCCTCTTTGGATCACGTGAAATTATTATGAAATGCTGTCTATAAGCAAATTCTCTATAAGGAAAGAAGCTGGAAGCAAACTGAAAGAATACAAGCATGGTTGTTGTTGTTATGCGCCGTCGAGTCATTTGCAACTCATAGCGACCCTATGTACAACAGCCCTAAACCCTGCTCTATCCTGTGCCAATCACACTGCCTCTGACACGCCCATCCCGATTACCCCAGTCACTGAATCAATCCAC